TGCATGTTCTTCGCCCGCTCCAGCCCCGTCTGCGGCAGCGGGATGACCTCCCTGCTGATGAACTCTGTCTACGCCAGGGAGCAGATCAACCACCTCACCTCCTACATCGACGCCTCCAACGTTTACGGCAGCACGGAGCAGGAATCCCGGGAGCTGAGGGACCCGAGCGGCCGGAACGGGTTCCTGAAGCGGGGACGGGTCGTGCCGGGCTCGGGGAAACATCTCCTGCCCTTCGCCGTGGGGCCGCCCACGGAGTGCATGAGGGATGAGAACGAGAGCCCCGTGCCCTGCTTCCTGGCAGGAGACCACCGTGCCAACGAGCAGCTGGGGCTGACGGCCATGCACACGCTCTGGTTCCGGGAGCACAACCGCCTGGCCGCGGAGCTCGCCGCCCTCAACCCCCACTGGGACGGAGACCTCCTCTACCACGAGGCCCGGAAGATCGTGGGGGCCCAGATGCAGCACATCACCTACGCCCAGTGGCTCCCCAAAGTCCTGGGGGAAGCTGGGATGAAGATGTTGGGCGACTACAAAGGCTACGACCCCAACGTCAACGCGGGGATCCTCAACGCCTTCGCCACCGCCGCCTTCCGCTTCGGCCACACCTTGGTCAACCCCGTCCTGTACCGGCTGAACGAGACCTTCCAGCCCATCCGCCAAGGCCACATCCCCCTGCACAAGGCCTTCTTCTCCCCTTTCAGGATCACGCAGGAAGGTGGGATAGACCCCCTCCTCCGTGGGCTCTTCGGGGTTCCCGGCAAAATGAGGGTCCCCTCCGAGCTCCTCAACATGGAGCTGACGGAGAAACTCTTCTCCATGGCACACTCTGTCTCTCTGGACTTGGCTGCTATCAACATCCAGAGAGGGCGAGACCATGGCATCCCACCTTACAACGACTTCAGGGTCTTCTGCAACCTCTCCTCTGCGCAGGAGTTTGAGGACCTCAAAAATGAGATCAAGAACTTGGAGATCAGGGAGAAGCTCAGGAGGTACCGTAGCCTGGACTTGGAAGCATCAGAATCACTGGGGATTTTCAGGCGGTGAAAAGTTTCTGCTCCTAGCTGGATATACCCATCAAATAACCCTCCCAGATATTGCTGCTCACGGGTGTTAAGATAGGGTGGTAGCTGTGGGTTAGGAATGGGGCCAGACAAATGAGGTCTGCCTGAGTGATCAGGCTGGTTCTGAGTGGAACGTCATCAGATGTTGCTGTGGTGTAGTTTGGGAGCAGATGGAACTATTTTTGGGACCAGATTTGAGCTCTTGTACAGGGAGACTAAACTGCACCCTATGTGCCTCTTTCCAAGGCAGGTCTTCACCCGATGTCTACTAGGTAAAGACCATTATAAATATTGTCTAGATGAGCTCCTGCCATACAAATTCCTCTGATGGGATTAGATTTAGATTATCTACACTCTTTGATAGTCTTCTGACTTTTAATATCTGTTATCTTGCAGTTTATATGGAACTACCAAAAATATTGACCTGTTTCCAGCCCTGATGGTGGAAGATCTCGTCCCTGGTACCAGAGTTGGACCAACGCTGATGTGCCTGTTAACGACACAGTTCAGAAGGCTGAGGGATGGAGATAGGTATTATCATCAGAGTCAACCCAGAGTCTTTGGTACTCTGTGTGGGGAGAGTTGCTCCCTACAGGGAAGAGCAGAACCTTTCACTTTTTATTATTTCTTGTCTTATGATGCAAGGAAGTGTCTCCTCTGTCCAGTGCATTGAAAAATGACTTGCCACAGCTACTCTCCATGTGTCCTCTCCTGATTTATGGATTCTCAGTTCTCTGCAGGACACTGGCCAGCATTGAGGATGCACCCAGTGTCCCCTGAAAATGCTAGGAAATGTTTGCAAGGGCTTCCTTCTAGTTCCTCTTTGCTGTCTGTGAATATTCACCTCACAAAGATGTGGCTGAGATGCATCTTTGCCTGGTGGTGGGCTTAAGGCAGGAGCATCGTTCACCCCTGTCCCAGCCTGCTCCAGGAGAGCTCTCTGAGCCCTGGGCTTCTGCTGCAAGGGGCTGTACCTGCAGAGGGTGGCACCCTGCAGCTCCAGCCATGGGGTTTTAGGGGTTCAGGAAAGGGCAGTCTGTGTTTGCAACCCCCTGACACCAGAATAAAACTCCCTAGGAGAGGCGTGGGTGCTGGCCACCAGAATGATCCGAGGGCTGGGGCAGCTCTCCTACGAGGACAGACTGAGAGAGTTGGGGCTGTTCAGTCTGGAGAGGAGAAGGCTCACAGGGGACCTTATTGTGGCCTTCCAGTATCTTAGGGGGGCTACAAGAAAGCTGGGGAGGGACTTTTTAGGATATCGAGTAACGACAGGACTGGGGGGAATGGGGCAAAGCTGGAAGTGGGCAGATTCAGGCTGGATGTGAGGAAGAAGTTCTTCACCATGAGAGTGGTGAGACCCTGGCATGGGTTGCCCAGGGAGGTGGTTGAGGCCCCATCCCTGGGGGTCTTTAAGGCCAGGCTGGAGGAGGCTCTGGGCAGCCTGATCTAGTGGGAGGTGTCCCTGCTCATGGCAGAGGGGTTGGAACTGGGGGATCCTTGTGGTCCCTTCCAACCCTGACAGATTCTGATCTGTTTTAGCAGAGGACTTTAGAGCCCTAATGGCTCAAGGGTTGGACTTGATGATCTTAAAGGTCCCTTCCAACCTAAAGGATTCTATGATTCTATGCTGCCACACAGATGTAGGGGAACGTTCTCCCTCCCCATCTTCTTCAGCTCCTGCATCACGCTGTGCTTCCAACCCCCTGCAGGTTTTGGTATGAGAGCCCCGGGGTGTTCACACCAGCACAGCTGACTCAGCTCAGACAGACGTCCCTGGCTCGTGTCATCTGTGACAACAGTGACCACATCCAGCACCTCCAGAGAGACGTCTTCCGGGTGGCCTCCTACCCCCAGGGCATGGTGGGCTGCGAGGAGATCCCCAGGGTGGACCTGCGCCCGTGGCAGGACTGCTGTGAGGGTGAGCAGGAGCCTGCTCCAGCACTGGCTCCCGTGGGGAGGGCTCTGGGTGGCATTTGTCTTCTGCTCTCAGCAGAAGTGCCAGCAGCTGGCTTCCTGTGGCACCGTGAGAGCCATGGGTCAGCACGTGGATGGGAGGGAGAAGGATGGGATGGGATAGAGATGGAATAGAATTAGAATAGAAAATGGAATGGAATGGAATGGAATAGGAATAGAATGGGAATAGAAATTGGAATGGAATGGGAATAGAAATTGGAATAGAATAGGAATGGAATAGGAATGGAGTAGCATAGGAATAGAATGGGAATAGAAATAGGAATGGAAATGGAATAACAATAGGAATGGAATAAAATAAGAATAGAAATAGAATGGAATAGGAATGGAATGGAATAGAAATAGAATAGAGTGGAATGAGAATAGTGTGGAATGAGTAGAATAGAGTGGAATGGGATGGAGTGGAATAAAGTGGAATAAAGTGGAATAGAATAATTTCCATTGGAAGGGACCTACAACGATCATCTGTTCCAGCTGCCTGACCACTTCAGGGCTGACCAAAAGCTAAAGCAAATTATTAAGGGCATTGTCCACACACATCCTAAGCACTGACAGGCTTGGGGCATCAACCCCCTCTCCAGGAATCTTGTTAACTTCATGGGGTCTGGCTGCAGGTCCATCTAGCTGAGGGCTTCTGTCTCTGGCAGCAGCCCGTAGCTTATACCTGGAAGAGGATGTAGCTATGGTGATCCCCACCACATGTCCCTTTACAGATTCATCTGGGAGTCTGTAAAACTCTGCTCTTAAGCCACAGATGCTGCCATGGTCCCTTTGTGCTATATTCAGGCTACAGACATCCAGCTGAGCCAAGGGAATCCTTGCCTCATGCACACCCCTTTGTTGCCTCCTCCTCTCCAGCATAAGAGGGGTGTCCCGGGTGGGTGGTGAAGGAGGGCAGCCCTGCCTTGTGCTGCCTGCAGTCCACGTGGTTCTGCTGTAAACACGAGTGCTCACTGCAGCCTTTCCCTTCCTTCCCAAGACTGCCAGACACGGGGGCAGTTCAGGGCTCTCTCCCAGCGGTTCCGAAGCAAGAGGTCTCCTGGCTTCAGCTACCCAGAGGAAAACCCTGCCAAGCATCAGCCTGCCTTCCCCAGGTGTAGTATCACCACACCTTTTACCTCTGTTTTACAAAGCATGGGGAAAGTTTTCAGTACCTTGACCCATCAAGCCTCTGAGATGAGCGTTCTGCAGAGCTCTGGAGGTCCACGGGTGTTTCAGCAGGTAGATGCTGAGCTCAGTCAAAGTTCTCCAGTGCTTTAGTGCAGAACCTGACTCTAGTGTTGAGATACCTGGGCTGAGTGGCTGTTTGGTTGGCATCTCTTGGCAGGTGAATGTGGCAGTGGGGCCCTTCTGTTTGATGTTTGCTTGGAGGCTGCTCTTGGAGAAGACAGGAGGATTCTCTCCTCCAGGAAGCTGATGTTTGCATAACCCCTTTCCCTTTTTATCCCTGACCCCAGAAACGAGGTGCCTGCTCCAAACCCTTCCCCCAGAGAGAACCTCGAGTCCCTCGTGGCTGAACTGGAGAAGACAGTTGCCTCCCTACAGAAGCAGGTAAAACTTTGTGCCTTGATCTTTGTCTTCCATGGAGCCACCTCAGGAGCAGGATTTAGCTGTTTGCTGTGGGCAACCTCCATGACTTTTGTGTCCTCCAGAGCCAAGAGGACCCATCTGTTCAGAGGGGACTGGAAGCAGGTACAGAAGAGGTAGAGTAGGGAGGGATGAAGCTGAGTTTTATGAGCTCAGACCTCTACAGCTGTAGGGTAAAATGCAAGTTTGAGCCCCTCTGAAGGTAACTTGACTTTCTTGGCTTTCTTCTTGTGTCTGGGACAGGCTAAAGATTATCTGTGCAATGGTGCAGGCTCCTCTTAGAGCTTCTATTTTCTCATCCCCACCAGGTGAATGCCCTAGAGAGGCAGCTGAGGTGGCACCAGAGGAGCAGCAGCACACATGGCCACGGGAAGAAGACTGGGGACAGATGGAGACAAAGATGACCACGCTGCCTGTTTGTCCAAGGTCAGGGGCTTTGTTCTGGGCTGGGGGCCAAGAGGTGGCTCAGTGTGGTGCTGCTGAGCCTGCGTGGGGCACCTCAGTAGCCTTCCCCTACAGAAAAGAGACTTCCAGAAAGGAGTGGAGCAATCTGGTGATGAATGAATGAATGAATGAATGGGACAGGAGGTAATAGGCTTAAATGCAGCAGCTTAGACACCCATTTCTACCAGTAACCATTAGTGACTCACTGGAATGGGTTGTCTGGGGACATTGTGGCATATCCATTCCTGGAGGTCTTTTAAGAACTGGTTTGGCAAAGATGGGGCAAGACATAAGTATAGGATGGAGCAGGTGGACTGGGTGAGGTCTCTGAGGCCTGTTCTCCTGGCACTCTGGGTAGGTTTCTCCTAACGACGCTTAATATCATAACCCCAAATCCAACAGCTTCCAAAGGACCTTTGTGGGGAGAGATATCCCAGAGCTTCAGTGATGAAGTAGATGGACTGGTTCCTTCCCAGGGTAACAAGGACATCTGGGCAGATGGAGCAATCCATCATTTGCTTACATATTGGCAGAGATTTTTACCCTCGACATCTGAGTCACTGTGCACCTCGCTTCTGAAGGCACCAGTCCTCTGTTTGCTCAGCTCCAGCCAAGGCTCTCAAGTGCATCTTTAAAGTCCCTGTCAACACCCTCCAGCCTGGAGCCTCCTGCTGCTGCCCAGAGCTCTGGTCCCTGGTGTTTAGGGGCACAGAGAGCCCAGGTTGGGCTCCCCCAGCCCACGTCCCATGGAGATCCCTGCAGCCTCCAAAGGGAGGGTGAAGATCTCCCTGGCACCCGCCAGTCTGGAGGAGGTGTTGGGTGGTTTTCTGTGTTGCAAATGATGACTCCAGGGACAGGAGCCAGAGGAGAGATGTTCTGCCAGGCGGTTGGTACTGGAGGAGCATCCCCAGGGAGGCAGATCACAGGGCAGGGTGAGCAGAGGCTGCCCCTTGCTGATGCTCTCAGCAGAAAGCAGAGCCCTGCAGGCTGGCCACCCTGTCTCCCACTCTGCTTTGGTGTGGTGATCCTTAAAAATGGTGATTCCTCTTTAGAAATCTGACAGACGTCACAGTGTGACACCTGAGCTGGCTTCTCCTTGTCATCTCAGATCCTTGAGGAGCACTCTAGGGTTCACAGGGTCCCTGAAGAGTATTTCTGTGGGTGTAAGGGGCTGTTGCTGGGTTTGTGCTGCTGTCACGCCTGCCCCAGGCCTGCTGGGCACTGTACAAACAGTTTCCTCTGCCTCCAGCTGCCTCCCAAAGAGTTTTTCTGCTTTCTTCTGCCTTTTCAGGTGCCCTGTGACCTGCACTCCTGCTCTCCACCAGCCAGCCCAGCCCATCCCTACAGGGCTCAGAAACAGCAGCCATGAGACCCCCCCGATGCTCTGCCTGCTCTCACACTCCCTGGACCACTCCCTGTCCCAGGACAACTGTACTTCTGCCTGTCCTGAACCCTCTGCACTGACTGTTGTTGAGCCACTCAGCCCCTGGACCACTCCCTGTCCTCATCAGCCTCCCAGGGATGGGCTCTGCCCTCTTTGCTGGTGGCAGAGCAGCAGAGTCTGCTGGGCTGCCACTTTCTTCTGCAGTCCCCAGGAGATGGAGAGGAACTGAAGCTGCTTGAGGGCCACTCTTCTGCTCTTCTCCTCTTCCCACGCAATGCTGTCACCACCCACCACCCCTTGTCTGGAATGTCCCATGGGCACCTGACCAAAACCATTCACGAGGAGGCAAAACCTTTCTCAAGGGCACCGTGGTGCCAGGAAGCCTCTGGAGAAATCAAAACCAATTAAACAAACACGAAGCCCCAAAGAAACCCTCAGCCACCTTCTCACACCAACAGCCAGAGCAAGAGGAGCTTCAGGGCCCTGGCAAGGGCTGGTTGGGGCTGGGCTTGCAGCTCCTGCCCACAGCCAGGAGGTGCACTCGAGGCCTGGGGAAGCCTCCAGGCTGTTTGGGTGCTTCAGGATGGGATTCCAGACACAGAAGACCTCGATCCCACCACCAGCCACTGTGCTTGGCCAGTGGTTGGGTTACAAGCAGCACATCCTTGCTCACCAGACCCTACATCTGACCTATCATTAGATGCCCAGTGCTCAAAACCATCTTCCCCAGCACGACCCTCATTCTCCATTCCTGCCCCTTTAGGGGTTTGATGGGATTTATGTTTCTCTTTGTTATTTCCCCCCCTCTACGAAAAGGCTCTTTGCTGGAAGATACATTTGAGTGTCAACACGACAGGACCTGGAAGAGAACCTCAGAGGGGAGCTGCTGGTTTCTGTCTGCTGCAGGAGGACACGATGTGCAGACTGACACTCAGATCAACCCAAAGTCCTCCTCGTGTTTCCTGCTCCCTGGTGCTCTGCAACGAAGCCAGGACCCTGTCAGCAGCTCTGCTGAAGAGGTCTTCTGCTTTTGTTGCTCTTCAGAAGGTGCTTTTTAGTGGTGCTAGAACTGAAGTCCTTGTGTCACCACCGTAGCCCCAGATGTGTGGACAGATGGGGTTTGAAAACAGGCTTCTAAGCTGGTCACAGGGACTAAAGAGAAGATCCTGGATCCATCAGCTATCTGTGCCTTCCATATCTTCCTCCTTCTCCCTACATCCTCCCACATCCCACAACCAGACACTTCTATGAACATGCTTTTTCTTCCCTTCCTTTTTTTTTTTATTTTTAGGTGGTTTTTTTTAGAACCAAAGGGTTTCAAAGCAGCAGGGATGCTCCTGGAACTTAATAGGGAAATAAAAAAAAAAAAGAGATACTAGAAAATAAAAGGGGGTGATTTATCAGCTGTTTCCTGGCGTGGGACTCTGGGCTGTGTGTGTGTGCGTGTGCTGGCAGGGGATGAGTGTGTGTTGGGCATGTCTGGGAAGTTCAGCTCAGAGGCAGTATTTAGTCCTGGGGGATGTTTGTCATCTGGAGCTGCTCTTTCATTTAGGTGCAAATCAAGACCCAAAGCTTTGCGTGTTCTCAGTCAGCTGCACTTCTCTATTGCTTGTCCCACGGGGGAATCCAAGCTGGCCAAGGTCACTGAAGGTAAGTCTTGGAGGGTTTGAGGTGAGGAGCAGAGCGCCAGGAGTGCTGCAGAAGGGATGTCCCTTCCCCACAAAGGGACCCCCAAACCCAGATGCTGAAATCCAGCTTCTAGAGGTTGTTTGGGCATCGTGGGACACACAGGAGGCAGGACAAGGCAGGCCTGGAGCTGTTGATTCAAGGATGGGTTCAGTTTGCTCTTCATACACCATATGGTTGCAGTCTGCAGCTTAGACCCCTACATTTAATTTTCTATTGTTTGTTTTTTTTTAAGTATCCTCCTTCCCAGCCCAGCTGCACACCCAGAATGAGCTGCCCAGCAGAGGAGGATTGAAATCATGGGCTCAAGGCCAGGAGTGGAGCTGCCAGGCACAAAACTCCCACTAATTAGATGGAACAGTTAAATGACAAAGCCCAGGCAGGGACTGGGGGAGGGCTGGGGTTGGGGGTTCTCACCAGAGCAGCGACCTTCAGGCAGCTTAAAGTGGGCGTGCAAGAAGTGAGGTGGAGATCTCCATCCTTTGGCCCGTGCCTGTGTTTGCTGGGCTTTGGCAGAGGGTTTGCAGCGTGTCTGAGTGTGCCCAGGGCTGGGAGGAGTGTGGGTGTGCTGGTGGCAGCAGGGGCTGGGGGGGAACACGGCCCAGGGGCTGATCCAGACCCTGCATCAGGCAAGGAGCTCCTGATGCTGAGAGGGAACCATCCCACCCGCAGGCTGAGCGAGCAGCAGATCCTGCTGGAGCTGGGGAGTGGATTCCCCAGGGAATTCCTGCAAGGAGGGGTTAGTGGGAGGAGGCAGATGCTTTAGCAGGGTAACCCTGGGACCGAAAGGAGGAAGGATCTCGTGTTACAAACCCCCACGATATCCACCCAGCAACCATCCAAACCACTTCAGGTCTCTCCTGAGGTCATTTCTGAGATTGGTTGGTTGCTCTTATCCATTTGTGGATGCAACAACTTCCCTCCAGAAGGGAAAACACCCTCCCACACCAGCCAGACCCAGATTCTGAGCAGGAGCCAGGGGCTCGTCACAAGAGCTGCTGGGAGCAGAGCGAGCGCCATTTAAAACAACAATTAATAATAATAATGACCAAAACCAGCCGCTCGCCTTCTCGCTGAGCCCGCCTCCAGCTGTGCCCAGCTCCCAGATGTGCCCGTGGGCCTGAGCCTGAGCCTCCCCCCCCCTG